ATATATGTACTCTGCAGAATGCAGACAGCTGAGAGCTGACTTGCACTCGCAACTGTATACTTAGTCTCCGATTATTTAAAGATTTTGTTCGATAACAAGACACTTTTCTCATGTCATCGAAAACTGCGTAATAATATACACAAGATAGTATGTTTTTTACACCTTACGGGTTATTTATATAAGTGCAGCAGTAGGTTGTATCTTTTTTATACGAATAGAAATATGGTAATTCAAAGAATATAATTCAATTTTATTAACCTCGGTTGGGTTATTTATAATTTTAACATTGAGGACACTGGAGCCACCTTAAAAAGTCCTGGAAATACCTACTTACTTCATCAGTGCAGCGAGAAAAAGAGAGAGCGAGCGAGAGGAGAGGGGGTCGTGTGACGTCATGGTAAAAAAGGGCCAAAGGGGGTAACGTATAGTAAAACGTACTAGGAAAACTGGTATACGCCAGGTATACGCCTGCAGCGTGTAGCAGCAGCCAGAAGCAGGCTGCCTGCTGACAGTGCTGCCACTGCCGCCGCTTCGCGTAGGTTACTCCTCGACCTCCTCGTGAGTGTGAATAATACTTAGTCGGCTGAATCGGAAATCAAAAGCGAGAGATGCAAGTTGTGGTGATCCACGTCCGGCAGATAAACATTATAATTGTAATGTAGATTGACTGGTGATGGTTTCGTGTGTTTAACTACAGATTACTGTAAAATATGCAAATAAGTGGTTTAATTGTTTGTTGTCGGTTTTTCCGCCTTCCATTTTCGCACGAGTGTTCACTAGAATTCATCAACAAGTGCGTGTTTTCAAGGTCGACTCTGCGCGTTTCGTCCCGAGTAGTGTGCAAATAACTTCGTTTTTATACCTTGTTTGGTTAGAAAGTGTGGGAAATAATTTCTTGGTCCGCCCATGTGAGTGTCAGTTAAGCCCCCTGTACATGTCTTGTGCTCACGTTGAAAGTTCGTATCGTATACCCGTTATCATCATTTTATAAGTTAAATTATGAAAAGTAGACTCATTCGTTTGGAATTTTTAGTCAACTCCAACCAAAGCTACGTAGAAGTAGGTATACCGACTGCCCAAAGGTTATTAACGATGCTTACAAAAGCGCCAGAGAGCCGAGAAATGGAGCAGAATATCGATGAACAAACTCGAATTCAAGTGACGTTTGCCCGAGTGTGACAGCATAAGAATGAGTAGCGTAAAAAACGTCCAACAACAGGCTCCCGCGCGATCCACCAATGAAAACCGCTACTGCACGTACAAGCACCGCCTGCGGAAGATCGCGGAAGTGGCGGCGGGAGACCTCGTGGGCCGAACCGTGCCGGCGCTGCTCGACGTACCGTGCAAGGATGATGTTAGGCGCAAAAAGAGCTGGAAAAAGCACATGGAGCAGAGAGTCCTGCAGGACGCGCAGCCGCTCGTGGTGGTGTGCGAGAACCCGGATCCGGTCACCGGAGCCGACTACGAACGCCTGCTACGACCCCTAGAACTACCTGGGTCGGTGTTAGCTCCAACCTCGTACGCAGAGTTGAAACCGCGTCATTGGCCGTGCAGCCGTGACCCTCGTCGGCTTAAATTGTGCGAGAGGCTGGGCTACGAGAAGGACCTCGTCAAGCCGACCCTTGTTGACAATGACATTGTCCCGGTCGAGTCGAGCCGCCTGCCCACTCTCGTGGTCGACGTTTCCAAGTGGCCGCGCTCCGCGCGCTTTTACATAAAACAGGTGCCGCGCGCGGATCGCCTCGCCAAGATACCCTTGAAATTTGCCAAGGTCGAAAACGACTGCGAACCTCTCGACTCGTCCGTGGAAATTGCTGAGCTCGAGGGTGATTCTTCTCACGATGAGGACATAAACTTCCAGGAATCAATCATCGACTCCTTTCAGATCGAGTACAGCAACACGGCCATGGACCGATCGGGGCGCAGGTGGCGTCAAAACAGCGCCGACGACGACGAAATCGAACCCGTGAAAAAAATTAAGATGACCGAGCCGAGCACCAGCCGAGCACCCGAGCCCACGAAGCACCACGATCAGCGCCAGAAACCGCGGGCAGCCGTCGTTGTGGACTGCATCGACCTCTGCGAGGAGGAGGAGGAGGAGGACCAAAAGCCAGACAGTTTGAAAGCCGAGAGCGCCGATCCGGTAGACGATGATGTACAACTGGAAACGGGCCGCCACTCTGTCGAGTACCGGATCAAGAAGATCCTGCTGAATCGCAACAGCGTGGACATCGTGACTCTCGACAGCGATGACGACGATGATGCGTTTATCGCCGACGTGATCGCGAACGTAGCGGCTTCTGAAGCTGCCGCTGCCAAGCCGATCTCCTCCGAGAAACACGTCGCATCGACAAGTACCTCCTCGGCGCCGACAAGACTTCTCAACGACAGCTGTGACAGCGATGTCGGGTTGGCCCACAACGCGCACCCCACACATTTGAGCGAAGAATCCGAGTCACAGCAGCAATTCCCGGAAACTGTGACACTCGAGACGCCAAGGGTGTTAGTTGCCGATCGAGAAGCTGAGACGGAGCCTGATTTTCATCACTTTGATCAGCCTAGCCGAACGGTCGGTCGCGATTACGAGACAACAACGTCGACGTCGTCATCGTCCAGCGAAGATAAGGACACGAGGGATGGGGACGTCATGCCGAAGATGAAAACAATCGATTCGGAAAGCGACGACGAGATCCAGCTAGAGACGGGCCGCCACTCGGTCGAGTACCGATTGAAGAAGATGATGAGTCGCCCGTGCGCGGGTGTCGTGACTCTCGACGGCGATGACGCGCTCCTGGCGCTCGCGATGCGTAGCGTGGCAATTGGCCAGGACACCGAGAATGGTACTGTGATGAGTGATCGTCGGTGCACGCTTGTCAAACAAACTTCAGCAACCAAAGACGATACTACCGATCGGCAACGAGAGCTGTGCAATGAAGTTGACGATGCTTGTGCTGCGGAAGCTGGTGAAATCTCCACATGTAGAGGCGAAAATGATAAGCGCGACTATCATGAAGGTGGAGTCGTGAATGGCTGTGATACTTTGGCATCGGAAGACTTGATGGTCCGGGTGCCATCGAGTATGCAAATTGATGAAAGTAACGAGCAGTGCGTGCCCGACTTGTTATCGAGAGCGGATGAGCTGGCGGACGAGTTTATGCGAGACATGATCGAGGAGGCTCGGGAGACCGAACGGCGCATCGAGCAGCTGCAGCTAGCCGTTTGGCCCAGCAGTGGTAAAGTGACGTCCAAGTCGAAGCGCAGCTCCGTTGTCAACTGGCTGTTCAAGTGCCAAATCGCGGAGGAAGAGGAGGCGGTTGCTTGGAGAGGCGTTAACAAACGCAAAAACGATAACGATTACGATGACGGCAGCGAGACCGGTAATTTGCTGAGAATGGAGAAAAGAAGAAAAACGGAGGAAAAGGAGGAGGTTTTCGTAGCCGAGAAGAGTGTAGACGCACAGCGAAAAATTAGAACGACGGTGGAGAAAGAGGTCGCCGTATTCTCAACTAATTTGGCGCTTCAGCCAGCGGCTGGTTCTCCATTGGATTTGACGGAGATGATCCGACGATTGGTGCAGTGCGCCAGGAGCGCCCAGTACTCGAGGATGAGCATCGATTTTTGCCTTAGGGTCGATCCGAGCATAGCGCTTTTCAGATTCATGCAGCTTCACCAGAGAGTCATGAGCAATGTTTTCTGGCACACTAGGTGCGTTTATTGATCATGACATGAAGTTGCCTATATTACTTTTCCTTTATTTTCATGTTTTGGATAAACATTTTTTTTTTCTACTCGTGCAATTTCTATAAAGCCACAGAAAGTCGTAAAATTGTGTGTCTGTTTATAAAAGAGAGGGAAATTTCGAACGTTAGATGTTTATTCGTATTTTCATAAACAATAGCTCAGTTTTAATAAAGTGTGTTTTGCGCGCCTTAGCACTCACTAGTATTATTGATAAAATCTGCAAATTAAATTTTAATAGATTTTTATCTTTGATTATTAAGACAATAGATCCTTTTTCTACAACTAGTAATCCCCCTTACTTTTATACATTTTTAATTGAATAATCATATTAATTTATAAAATCAAATATTTACAAAAGCATTAACACCTATTAAGTAGTACTAACTTGTTTTAGTTAATTTTATTTTATTAAAACACAAATATCTGCTTTTGTTTATTTTTAATTTTTTTTCTGCTATCATTTTATTATCATATTTACTTTTTTCAGGTTCAATCATTGGTGCAAGGACAATAATCCTTTACAACAAACATCGTCTGCAAAAATTACTGATTTGTCAAACACGGACTCTAACAAAGGCTTGCTGAGAAATGAAGAATTCCCAAAAGTTTCTGATCCTAAAGTTGTGATTTCTTTTCCTGCACAAAGAAGTAAAGCAAATCGCCCAAAACAAAACAAATCTGATCAAGAACCAAGAGGTTATAATTATGTAAGGAATCCACCTCTTCTGTCAGCTAGGAAAGAATCGTATGATATGCAGTCACAGAAAAGTGTAGAGAGCGTTAAAAAATTACAGTTTCCAATGCTGAAGAAAGACTGTTACAAACCAAAAGTAAGCATCACTCTGAATAAGTACCTGTTTGACCCCATTGAAGAAGAAGTTCCAGAGTTGGAAGGTGATTTCCAAAATCAACCTGTAAATTTCCATAATTCTAATCTAGAAAATTGCCTGGGACCGGGTGTAAAGAAAATGGTAAAGAGGACACCTTTATCCGATGTCACATCTGAAGATTTAAATTTAGGCTCTTTGTGTGTTAAACCTACAAAACTAACGAGTATTAACAAAACTAAAGAGTCAAATAGTGAAACGACCCCTTTAAGCAGCACTGAAATTACAAAAATATCTTTACCCGTCAGTTTGCCAATCGATGAAATATCTCCAAACATGTTTTTTTATTCGTTACCTCAATATAGCTATTCCGATGATTTTAATAATGATTTTCATCCAAATAGACAGGTCACTTACGGTTGTGATGGGTCTAACGCTTATAATTATAGTTCAGATGAGGAATGTCCACCTCAAAATAAGGCTTGCTCACCTATTGTTGGATCAGAAAATGTTAATGAAAAAACTATTAATAGTGTCAGTAACATAAAACAGCAAAACAAAGAAAATTCAGCTGACAAACAAGGTGAAGAGTCAATAAACAAAAGTGAAGAAATAAGTAAAAGTGACTGCGTTTTGGCTGAAAATAGGTGCAAAAAAATAAATGAACAATATATTACGACGAACAAGTCTGATGAAGTTGTCAACGAAAACGACGACAGTAACGATGATAACTTTGATAACATGGTATTAGTCTTATCAAGCACAACTTCTGATGATAATAGCGACTTTGAGCATAACAAAGAAAACATTGTTGAGATGATGCATCAAGATACTGAAGAGAGTACGACAAATCTTGACTCTGATAATATTGCTTATGTAAAAGATAAAAATATGAATGAAAAAAAATCAATGGCTGATATAGTTCAACAAGAAAATGTACCTGAACCTTCGAAATTATCACATTGCTGTGAACCTCAAGTTGATTCAAAGGCTGAAGCAAAAAGTTTAAAATTAGTTATAGTTCGCAATGGAAGTACAGAAAAATGGGGAATTAAAAGAAAAACATCATCAGAAACAGACTCATTGTCAGATAAATCACTTACAAAAAAGTCCTCTCCACCAGAAACTGCAGTAACTGAACATGTATCCGAACCTGTATTGCACAGGGACGTTGAAATGGCTGTAAATACCGTCAACACTGAAGATAATCATGTCTTAGCAAAAGATACTCAAGTTGCACCGGAAAACTCATCATACATGGACATTGAAATGGCCATAAATACCGTCAACACTGAAGATAATCATGTCTTAGCAAATGATAATCAAGTTACACCAGAAAACTCATTGCACAAAGACGCTGAAACGGGCACAACTACTACTACTGAAAATGTAAGCGAATGCAATCGTATATCTATGGATGGTGGTCAAATTCAGTTGATACCTTCATTGCACAAAGACGTTGAAATGGGCACAACTACTACTGCTGAAAATGTAAGCGAATGCAGTAGTATATCTACGGATGGTGATCAAAATCAGTTAAAACCTTCATTGCACAAGGATGCTGAAGTGGACGAAAGTGCCACTGACGACGAATGCAATTATGTTATTGCAGATGATAGTCAAGTAGTTCCAGATAACGAAGATCACTTAGAAGGAGGAGATTTTGATTTTGTTAATGAAATAACTTATGATTCTGATCACGACAGTTACATGTGTGATAATAGTTTACTCAAAGAAAGTGAAGCTGTTATGGAATGTGTAACATTCACGAATGAGGAAAAAAGTCACGAAGATGAAGATATTATATTTCTTGAGGCTAAAACATCAAAGCCAATGGTCGTAAACAAACATATTCATCAAATGAAAAGTGAAGAAATTACATTAGAGACGTTTAATGAATTGAACTTGCACAAAAGTATAGTTGCTCCTGAAACAGCAAAAGAAGAGTCAAATAACGATATTACCAATGAAGAACAAGAAGTTTTTAAAAAGTCACTTAACGCTCTAATGAATGACGTGGTGCTACGTGATGCTGATAGTACAGTTGACAATAACAATGAAATTCTGACTTGTTCAAAGTTAACAAGTGCGCAGCTCAACATATTCCAAGCATACAACATAACTGTCGTAGATGATCTTGAGAATTTTCCGAATAAAGTTTATGGCAAAAATAACGCTGTACACCCCCCAATTGAAAGCATACCTGTTCAACCACCTGTTCAACCAACAATTAGAGTTAGAAACATGAACGAATTATTAGCCAAACCAAATGATATACCAATTAGTTCAGATTGCACAGCTGGAAATAATAATCTAACTGTTCAGGCCACTCCAATAAATGTAATTACAGCTCCTCAAACTAATATTCTCGTACCTCACGTACCTGCACAAGCTTCCAAAGTTATAGTAGCCAGCCAGTTATATGCTAATATGTTTGATATGCCTGGAAGCAATGAACACTCAACTAGTAATGTACCAAAAAATCAGCCAATGCACGATTACGATATTTTTTCATTGCCTCTTCGTCCCTATGAATACTTCCAGTTACCTGAACCTTGTAGCATATATGATGAAGACTCTGAAGATGTGAAGCTCGCTAAAGTACGTAAGTACCAGAAAGCGTTGCAAAAAAAAATCAGAGAGGCTGTTCAATATTTTCAAATGAATAAAAATCTTGTGGTTCAGAGTATTGATTCGTTTCTACATTACAAGACATTAAACATGAATAATGTATACTTTCATCAATATTTAAATTCGTATTTTCAATGTTTTTGTGCTATAAGGAGAATTTCTGGATACACTACAACTAATTTTATCATGTGGGTCATGATAAATACTTTGGAAAATAGTCCTGACGGCTGCATATTTTTTTCCAAAGCCAATAGTTTTATTTGTATGTCTCAACTATGTAAAAAAATGGGAGGACATGCATTTATTTCTAACTACGAGAATGAACCATTCCTCGAAGATTTAGATAACGAATACATGCATCGAAATCAGCCTAATCAAATTCTTATGATGTCCCAGGAGCAGAAAAAAGTATTTTTCAAACAAGTGGCAATGTACAGAAAAATTGTGGGTTTATTGTAAATGTAAAATATAAAAATTTATTAGCACTAACATAACTGTGCAAAGCCCTCTGTGTATGGATAATTTTTTTTTTTTTTTAATATATTGAGATTAGAAATGTTTATGGTGAGTTTTGTAACTTAAAAAAGTTTTTGATTTAACAGTCTTACCTAAAACTATAACATGTAAATAAATCAAAATCAAAAGCGAAACCAAAGAAAATTCTAGAAAGTATTTCACTATAAGATAGTGGAAATCCTGAACTTATATTAAAGGAGTTTTTTCAATTTACTTGTCGTCATAGGGAAAACTATAAAAAAGTCAAGTTGATTTGCAAAGAGAAGTTTAGTATAGTTGAAAATTTTTTGTTACATCAAAAATATTCTAATAAGTTGAAAAAAGTAAATGCTTGTAATTAATGTTATTTTTGAAAAAGATGTTACCTTTTTAGTTTTAAGTATTTGTAAAATTTTAACATTTTTATACATTAAAGATGGTTTTTTAGAAAAAGAAAACTTTTATTGTCTCTGTACCTGTACTTCTGCCTTTATCCTCTATTGTCCTTTTTTCATGATTTTCTCTATTGAACTTGTTGAATCTTTTAATTGATCAATAAAAATATTGTTCGTCATGTAAAAGGTAAATGATCAAAAAAAATTACGACAACTTTAGAAATCATATAAAGATGAAAGCTTTATTTTAAAAAAGTTTAACCTTAACAAACTCAGTCACGCAGGTGATGGTAAGTCTAAAACAAACTTTTTCTTTTATTTCGTTTTACTGGAGGTTGCTAAAAAAAATTTGTTTTTACACAGTGATCAAAAAATTACTTACTCTGAAACCTATTAATAATGTTGTTTTTTTAAAAAAAGAAACTTTTTGAATGAAAAAAAACAACTTTATTTTCACTCGTACATTACCTTGCTGTTAACACAACAGTACAATATACTTTAAAATCACTTACAATTTATAGAATAGTTTTTTATTTTACTAAAATAGTTTCACATTATTCTTCATAACCATCAGGTAATGGATTGCGTTTAGGATCGTGAAACAGAGAGTGATTTCCATCACCCCATGGGAATTTCTGAAATGTCAAATTTTTTTTATTGAGTTTTAATTATACCCTCTTGGTTGAAAAATGATTTCCATTAATTTTTTAATAACCAATGACATATATCGTACCTTAGTGCGAATTCTCAAATGCTCATATGGAATAAATTCTGGACGTGGATGATGCTCTTCTTCTTTTTCCAGAAGGTAACAGTTTATTCCAGCAAGAAGTAATGCGACAGGTACACCAAAAATTGTTAAATTTCTCCACATTTTTTCGGCAGCCTCTGAAAATTGAAATTGACAGATTCTGCTAGCTGTTTTATTATACTTGTGAATATTGTAGAATTAAATTCATTGAGTAGTATTAATAGTCGAAATTGTATAAAAAAGTATGATTTTTGTGATGAATTAGCGATAAAACTTCAAGTTATTAAATATATTTAGGCAGTTATCAAATCAAGACATACTTTCACACTTCTAGTGTGTATTTTGTCGTACAATTACTAAATTACTAATGTAAGTGAATATTTACTTGATCACAAAAATATTAAAAATAAAAGAAAAAAATGCAAGTTGTTGTAAACTTGTTACAGACGTCTTTTAAAAAAAAGTTTGGAACGTTTTGACGAAATTAACTAATTTAATCTTAAAGTGGATCTAGGTAGTCATAGAAGCTTGTAGGATTTGTAAGATCTAGTAAAAATGGTATATGTTTTTTTAGGAAAAAGGTAAATTGAATAGTAACAAGACAACTATTGACTGTAACAAGAAATTGATTTGCCATACATTAACAATAGTGGAGTTTCCAGAATCTTACGCTATGTCATCAGGAATTATCACGCAAAAATCGTCTAATTTAACAAAACCAATGTTCACCTCATACCAAACAAATTATTATGTAACTTTGCCAAAAACCGAGGGGGAAATAATTGCTTTAAGAGGAAACAAACCACCATTGCCAATAAAAATCAATCGACCACCTGCACTTGCACTGTAACTAAACATAAACATAACGAAAAAAATCGACTTATGCGTTTAAATGTTATAATTTTGCTAGAGTGACGTTCCACAACGTTTTCCTAGGTAGTGGTAGTTTTTTGTTTTTGTAACAGGAATTATTGGAGGAGGGGGCGAACTGATTATTGGGAAAGATACAGGCAATAACTCACCAAGCTCTTTGGGGTCGCCATGAGATAGGACATTGTGCCCCTTGGATGAATAATTTCTTGCCAATAACTTTTGCATCGAGCGACGAAACATCGCAGATGCAGCCATGTTTGCTGCTGACTAAACTAAACTTTGTCCCAATGTCCCCTGCAGCAGCGCACGATCAACAGTACAGCAGAAGACATTTATTTTTGTGGAAGCTTGTATGTATTTATATTTCATCAGTTTATATATAGTCAACGCTGCCTAGCGTGGGTGATTCAAAACTAAAAAGTACACTTTACCCTTTACCGCGGTTCAGAGAATCTCATCAGAAATGTCAGATCAGACAGAACAATTATTTTTAATTTTTATAAGCCAAATAAGAATAAGATATGAGATAAGTCGAATATTTATACTTTTAGAGGTCGCTTTATGGATAAAAGATGAATTGTAAACTTGCCGCAAACAGCAAAAAAAATTTTAACTTTTTACTGTCTATTTATAACATTAGTTGCGGCTGGTTTATAATAAATAAAATGGCTCTACTGTAAGTAGTAATAATTATTTGGATCAGCGCCATCTAGCGGTCTTCATTTTTTAGCCAAAAGTGGCCTCAAAAATTCTAAAACAGAGCATTAGGGCTGAGAGCCATTCAATTAATTATAAACCAGCCGCAACTCATGATAGAGCTGTAAAATGAAAAAATAACAATCTATTTTCTACCAAAAAATTGACCTCCTATGTATTTATACTTTTAAAGATAAATTTTCGAGCAAAAAATAGATTGTTAACTTGCCGCCAAAAACACATATATCGTTATTTTTTTATTTTATAGCTTTATCATGAGTTGCGGCTGGTTTATAATTGATTAAATGGCTAAAAACGCTAAAGCTCTGTTTCAGAAGTTTAGGGGCACTTTTTAGTTCAGAAATCCGCAACGCTAGATGGCGCTAATCCAAATAATTATTACTACTCACAGTAGAGCCATGTAATTAATTATAAACCAGCCGCAACTAATATTATATACACAGACAATAAATGTTGAAATTTATTCTGCTGTTTGCGGCAATTTTACTATCTTTTACTCGAAAATTGCCCTCTAAAACCAAAAATATTCTATTTATCATATATGGCTTAAAAAATCGACTGTATTTACAAAATTACAATACTTTAGACCTTTTACCATTAAGTCATGCAAGCACAAATCAATCAGTCTTAAAGAGACAACAAAGGCCTAAAAAAAAGAAGCCCTGCAGTCACACGAAGAGTCTCACTCGGCGGTAAATAAAGGCTAAAGCTCTCATCTTACCGTAAAGGAAAGGGTACTTTTTAGTTTATAATCAGCCACGCTAGATGGCGTTGACTGTAAATGGAACAGGTATATTTATATACATTCACTCGAGTCTTTCGACTGACTGACTGTTTTCTTTTTGAATCGAGAAGCCTAGTAAACAGGTAATGTTTTTGAAATTTGGTTAATTTGTAAGATGTGTATATTGTAATAAGACAATCATTCAATGCCGTTGATATTGTTTTTTTACAGCACTTCCTCAGAACATCGCGGAAATGGAGAACGACTCGAAAGAATGTGTCGACCTGTACATCCCGAGGAAATGGTGAGTAGCGAGTACAACAAACACGTGGGTTATGGTTCTCTCTATTTATTTGTTGAGTTGTAGGAAAGAATCGCTTTTAAAATTGTGCATCGCAAGTAATGCTCGATTTTTCTCATATAATTTTATCATTGGGTTATAAGAGGTGTCTAAGTGTTTGACGCTCCAACCCGTGAGGGTCTTAAAGTTTGAGGTTAAGCCCTCACCAGTTGCTTTGATTGTTTTTTTAAGTGTATTAATTCTGTTAATACGTATTTATTACGTGAAAACTTAACGATTAATATGTTACTTGTAGCTCTGCGAGCAACCGTATCATCCATGCCAAGGATCATGCCTCTATCCAGCTTGCTTTAGCTGATATTGACCCAACGACTGGTAGGATGACAGACACGTACAAAATGTACGCTATCTGCGGGGCTATTCGTCGTATGGTAAAGTTATTTTTATTTCATCAATTATTATTTATGATTTGCTAAACAATCGGTAGAACTGTTATGTATGATACGTTATTGTTAATACAAGTTGTTGAATCATTCAAATTTCTACTATTGCTGTAAAGTTTTCTAATAAATGCATCCAGAATACATTTAATAATAGATAGTGAAAGTATAAATTTTTTTTGATAATGCAGATAACTGATTGTTTTTAATATATGAGAATGAATCACTTATATTGTGTTAACACTCATACTACCATTGTTTGAATTATTATTCTTTCAAACATTCATTAATGAAACGAATTTAAATTGTATTTTTTTAATTGGTATGCTAACTTTTGACTGGTTTGTACTAATTTTTGATAAACTTTTTGTTATAGGGTGAATCTGATGACTGTATAGTTCGACTTGCAAAGAAAGATGGAATCTTAGCTAAGAATTTTTAATTTATAAGATTTATAAAAATATAAATTTTTAAAAAAATTATTCTGTTTTCATTTCAAAACACAAAAAACCTTTTCAGTCCTATTCCTTATGTAACATTTAACGCACTTGTTATATCCATAGATACAATTTATTTTTTGATGGTTATTTCTTTTAAACTAGATTTTATGCATTTGCTGGATTTCCTTAAAATATTTCAAAGCAGGTTATCAATGTATTAGTATTCCTCGTGGTTTGATTAAACATGAAGTGATTTCCTATTAAAAAATAGGCTACATATAAACATAAAATTGTTACAACTTTTAAAAAAGTGTATCCATCCGGATTATCAGCATATACTTCTTCATGATAAATGCTTGATCAACTTAGGTATCAGGACACATGTTTTAAGGTACATTTCAATTATTAACTGCTACACAAATGTTATATTACAATTTATTTACACAATTATGAAATAGATCTATGTCGACAATACTCACATTAGATATAAATATTAGGTATAAAATGTTAATTATTTTACTTAGTTCAAATTTTTAAGCTTAAAGTACATAACATAGTTTCCTATATGTTTTTCATTGAAGTGATTTCGACTTCCAGATCTTAGTAGAAATGAAAAAAAATAATTCATAGAGCAAGTGAATTACAATATTAAAAAGAGTCTCTGGGGTCCATCCATTAATCTTACATATAAACGTACACCAAAATGCAACCTAATATTTCCTCCTTTTGACTATGTCAGGCTTCCAATTGATGGGATGTGTTTCTTCAGAAGCATTTTCATCCTCCTTATAAACTTTTATAGTTTTGTCTGCTTCTGTTGTAATCATCCTTGTGCCAGATATATCAAAAGTTATGCTAAATATACCAGCCTCTGAATCCATTGATCCAGGTTGGACTGGTGCTTGCAGGCGTTGGAAGTTGTATCCAGTTCTCCAGTCCCAAAGATGCATAGTACCGTTGTCTGCTCCTGATACCAGAACTCCATCTTCATTTGCAGCCAAACAATTGATAATGGCATTGTGCCCAGAGAGATTTTGGATGAACTTTCCATCTTCAGATTTCCACTGTTTGATATTGTCTGGTGAAGCAGACACAAACATATTCAGAGTTGGATGAAAAGTGAGGGCTCTGACGCTCTTTTTGTGATTGGTAAGAGTGACTCTAGACTTTCCAGCCGCCAAATCCCATAGCCTGATGGTAGTGTCGTGACTGCCCGTGATGATTTGTGGATCGTAAACTTGGCAAATAACACTGGCCACAGTGTTCGTGTGACCAGTCAGGGTGTGCACATTAGCCTTCGTCCTCATATCCCAAACTCTAGCTGTGCAATCTCGACCAGCTGTAACCAGGACGTCTATCGTTGGATGCAGAGCCATGGAATATACAGCAGACAGATGTCCGTGATAATGCCTGATAACCTTATTGTACTCCAAATCCCAGCACTTGACCTGTCTATCCTCACCACAGGAAAACAAGTAAGGATGCCTCTGCGAAAAAGCCAGCCCTCTGACGCTACTGATGTGACCTGTCAGCGAGATCTTAAGATGTCCCGACGCCAGATCCCAGATCTTGATAACCCTGTCCGCAGAACCAGTGGCAAACCACTCGTTGCTAGGCTCGATCGCGCAACATCTCACCCAACCAAGATGCCCGCTGATAACCCTGTAGAGCTTCCAGGGCGCATGCCACTTCGGCTTGGCCATGGTTATATTTTTCTTAATGGGATTGACATTCGCTACGACGTTGCTCTCGCTCGAGATGACCTGGGAGGAGGTATTGGACGTGGTCACGAGTGCCAAGCTGTGGTTGCTGCTGCTGGTGATGGCGGAGTCGGTGCCGTTGGCCAACTCGGAGTCACCAGAGCCGGAGTGCAAAGTGCTGGCACCCTTTCGCTTCTTCATCTCGTTGTTGAAGTCAACTTCCTTGAGGACAGTGCTGAAGGTGTCCTTTGCCTTGATGCTACTTTTGAGCTTCTCGATCGACGGGTCGACCGGGGGCAGCATGCACTGGTTGGCCAGGAACATGTCGTGCGTACGCTTCAACGAGCGGAACACTAAAGTACTCACCGAGTATTTTTGGACTTCCATTTTTTTTGTGGCGTTGATTGTTCGCTGTGTCTATTCGCACCAAATCCACGTAATTACGTGGATATAAGGTTAGGAATTTTAAAGAAAACCGCTACTTTTTCAAATGAAGTATGTCCACGTAAAGTGAAGTTCGCACACGTGACAATACGTAGATATATACATATTTATTTATGTATCAGACAAGTAAAAACAAAAATTGTGCTTTCATACACACACATGTTCTCTTATAGGCATTAGGCACGCATAAGCTTACGGACACGTAATCTTCAAAAGACGTCAGGTTACAGATAAGTTGCTTACTTACAGCCACGTAAAATCTGAAAGCATCGATTAACTCTATGCTCAAGCTTACGCATACGTGATTAGATCCCTTTTTTTTCTCGTTAATAATTAAAGCATAAACTTATTCCAAACTTACCTTTTTGCTTCAAGATGAATCTAATCAAGAGACGTTAAAAGTGCAGAGTCCCAAGTAGAGTTGACAATTAAGTCTACAGTCAACACTATGAAATTATAGTTAAAGTATAATAATTCAATACTGTTACAATAACACTGTCACAGAAAACTTATATTTTATTTAATCTATTCAAGTTGGAATATATTTATTAGAAATATATACAAAGATTAGTTTAAGAAATAGTGCATGTGGATCCTATTTTACTTTTTATTTGTCGAACGAACAAAAAAAAATGTTTCTATAGAGAATCAATTTTAATTTTCTAAAAATTTGCTTCATTTATTAATAGTTTGGACATAAAAAGAAAAAAAAATGTAGCTTCATCAATGGATGTAGGTTACTATCAATCTCAAAATAACTTTGAAGCCTGCACACATGACATCATTCTGGGCATTTTTGACAAATAAAAATTAATTAAAATGCATTTTTCTTAAGACTAGAGCCTTCTCATTGACGTTTGATATCTAAGCAAAACAAAAACTAGACATATATATATATGGCCGGAGGTGTACCAACACACGAAGATTTCCGTGTAAAACGAAACTCGCTACCTTTCACGCATGCAAACTTGCAACTCGACATCTTTCATGCATGCAAACGTGCAACTTGCTAGCTTTCAAGCCTGCACGCACGATGTCGTTACCGGGCTTCCGTAGATGAATCCTGGCGTGCTCCCGCGACGAAACATCAAACAATCTTTTCTCTCTTATCGTGGCATCACTTGATCGCCATAACGGACTACGTGTGTGTGGACTGGGGTTTGGAAATTTGAACATTTGAAGCACGGAATTAGAAATTAGAACCGCGTGGAGCGTTTTAGATTTTTTTGTTTTCAAATTGTAGCAGCCACAGGAGTGACAGGAGATATTATATATAGTTCTTAAATAACATATTTGAAAAATTTTAAATGGGAGTAAAATTACCAACAGCAAGAACTCATGATTATCACACATCACACAAAATTAAATTGTATTTTCCTTAAGTTTCATTACATACCAAGGTTACTTTATTTATTCAAAAATTAGAGTAAGGATATATAAATGATATAACACGTTATGAGTAATTTTTAAATGAATCGTTAACTTAAAACAATGATAGACTGTATTTCTAAAAAAAGAAAAATAAAAGTGTTCAAGTAATTTTAATAACTTGTTTATTTATCGCCGTACAATACAACTCATGTCAAAACGTTTTACCTATCAGTTCTTTACTGGCACTGATGCAGATACAATTAACGTTCACATAAGCGTTGCAGATATTCATGTTACAGTTTTGTACAGTGAAATTTTATTGAATGCGTTTAAGTGACGAATCTTAAGTTTTTTTTAAAATACCAGTTTCTTTTTTATTAAAAATATTAAGCATGCAATTGTTTTGTTTATATAACTCTTAATTTTTACGTAAATTCCAATTTCTTCAAAATTCAATTTAAGTTTTTAGCCGCATTAGACTTTTTACATGATTTTTCATTTGGTATCAGCAATTTTAAAAATGTGGTAATACTTTTCTACTCATATAGTTCAATCAAAAATAAATGTTCATTCAAAATACAATACATATTCAATAAACTATAATTTTACTGTAAAAAAAT